GCGAATCGCGCGATTCGCTACTAGCGATTCGCGCGATTCGCTAGCGTTCGCGGTCGCGTTGCGGTACCAATCGCTAGTAGCGAATCGCGCGATTCGCAAAGTCTGACATCGGCCTTACTGATTTCACACGTTACGCCAGCCACGCACCACTTCCGGAGATGGGCGGGCATAGCTGATGCAGTGTAGTGGGTGTGCGTCATATGGCGCGATCCCATTGGCATTGGAGCGCACAGGCCGTAATTACCACATCCTGCTGTGGCCGGACAACTCGTCCGCGCAACACATTCTGTTCCGTTCTCTTGCCTTGGCATCAGGCCAACGAAGCTACTCTTTTTTAGATCTTTGGGACTCAGCGAGATTTTTGAGGGCCCAAATTATCACATCGATCAATTGCTGAAGTCTAGCAGCTGTGTGATACGGACGAGTTGTCCTGGATACTGTGCGCTCTAATGCCAATGGGATCGCGCCATATGACCGCCTCCCAGTGTAGCTATCGCTGTAAATAGTAGGCCAGGGCCTTGTCGCCGCGCAATCTCGATTCAGGAGCGTGGCGTCACCCTTCTGAGTGCAGTCCTGGCCATATAGTGATGGAAAGGCTTTCTATGAGCACCTAATCCTGACTTGTGGCTTTAATTGGCGGACAGCTTTCTAGAGACTGTAGCTCTGACTTTTGACCAGCATTTCTGACAACATTGTAGCCATGATCAGCTGATAAGCTTGATGTGTTCGTATCGTGCACCATGCTCCCGAAGGAAATCTTCAAATGTCGCCGAGCTAGAAGGCTATCATGAAGTTTCTCGATAGATTGAAACGTGCCCTTCAAAGTCCAGTTAGGATCATTCGATTTGAATTTAGCAAAGTGATGGCTTATTTTGTCCCCCCCCCCTTCTCCCCTGTACGTAAAATCTCGAGACGAGGCGTATTTGGAGCACCACATACACGATACCGTTGTACTGTATGTTCCGGGCATGTGAGTTCACATGTAGCTGCAGTAGAGTGGAAGAATTCTGTTTTATTTCTTGTTTCGAATTTCAAATAGAGTGCTATACAAGTAGGGTGGGCACGCCGCATTTTTTGAACAGAAATGTATGTAAGTGGGACTGCTGCCCGCTACTATACTGTCACGAGAATCGGGGAATTCGTGAGCCAGGGGGAGTGTAGCCAATCTAGGGGTGGGGGGTGAGGGCAGTCACTTGACATGCGTGAAAAGCTGGGCGTGCCCACCCCACTTGTATAGAGCCTCAAATAGTAAGATTCGCGAATGTAACACTCAGACGACCTGCTACAACATGTAAATGAAGATGAAAATGAAACAACATGTAGCTGCAAGACACTTCTTGTGTTGACATGTTCCTCGACAGAACAGTAAAATCGTTTTCGGTCAATCAAGGCCAAATCAGGGGCCGTATGCTATCCTTCCCCGAAGCTAGGTGACAAAATTTCCTTTAAATTTATTTGCTTTGAACGCTTCTTCATTTTCAATGCATGTTTACTTTAACCTACATACATACATTTAATGTAGGCCTTTTATCAGGGTAATCCCAGTTGGGAAGACAGAGAAAATTTCAAAGGAATTTTCGTCCCCTAACCCCTTTCGGGAGGATAGCGCATACGGCCCCAGAGTCAGGTCCGATCTGATCTGTGATGCTGCTAAGTGTTTGATAAGTTGAATTTTTCTACATACTTCGCGACATTTCGCGCCTGTTTTACCAAATGTCCCTTCGAAATTCAATTATACGTACTCCGTCAGTACTTGGCATTTCGTGGAAATGAACACCCTCCGTTCACTGTTCTTTTCTTGGTCTCAGGACATCTGTCAACCGTGAGCCTTGGCGGTTCAGCGTTTTGTAGTGATGTCTGGGAGCTCTCACAAGTGCACACTATCACAGCATCTCCTCTTTCTTTATCTTCTTCAAAAGGCTTAGTCCCAATAAGACACAAGTGTGCTTTTCCAGCTACGCTCTCACCCTTTGGTTGACAGAAAGCCTTCTACTTTTCTTCGGCAAGTTCATCTGTTGACCATTCGGTGCAGGGGTTCGCTTTCCTCTTACAAGCACTACTTTTTATGACCAAGTACCTGATCGGATTGAAGTCGGACCTTTTTAAGTCCACCCGCACTGCAGTGGTGTGATCTAGGTCCACTTTTGAATCGTCGAGATTGAATTTGTCACTATTTGCCTGAAGGACGAGAGTATTATCGAAGACAAGCGTAGCGTATTTGTGTGAGGTGAATTTTTTAGCGGTATTTCAAAATACGGGAGCACCCCACAGCACCAATCAGGAAGGTCTCTCAGGTCGTGCCCAGCTTCTCCAAACGGTATTTCCGTTATATAGGGACACACACACATGAAACATATACAGTCGAGATCCGTAAGTTGGGGTAGGCGTGTCACCGGAAGTGACGTGGACTTGATAGAGGTTGCGTAGATAAGTCGTTGCCAGCATGCTTTGCTGATATCTCGCGATGTATATTGGAAGCACCTTATCCACATAGATTCTATCAAGTACACGTCACTTCCGGTGACACGCCTACCCCAACTTACGGATCTCGAGTATAAATGTTAATTTTTTTGAGCGGCTCACTGGACAACAAAAATGTAATGAAAGGTTGGTTCATTGTTCGATCCACCCTGGATAGAAAGTTTTGGATTTTCGATAGACGCTTGCCTGATGTCGCAAAAGGTGCCCACGGTGTAATGAGTGCCATATTACCATCAGTACCATCGGTAAGCCGTATGAGTTTTTTTTCCCAAACCATGATTCCGTGTTCTGTGCATGTGTCCCTTATGCAAAAAAAAATGTTTTCAAGCAGCGGGACGTTCTGAAAGACCTTCCTGGTAGGCCTAAGATAAATCAAGAGCGGCAGGACATACATATATACATACATATATATTCGAAAGTGCGCTGCGCTTGAGTCCGTCAGAGCCACCTTCTAGCGACTCTTAGCGTACGGACGAGTTACGTCGTGCACACCCCATGAAACGCAACGTGGATTACGGCGTAGCGGCTAATTCAAATACGCGCGGGTTAGTTGAGCCGTGGAGCAGGCAAGTTCGTACAACTCGTCCGGCCCCGCCCCTTCCTTATTTCAAGGAAATCCTTGTTTAGGGCTTCATCGACGGTTTTCTTTGCTTCTTTTTTCATTTTTAGTCAACTCGGCATCCACAACTCCATTATTGACCGCTGCAACCCCACAAATTTAATCTGGCGGTGTTGCTTTAACAAATCGTGCTTGTGTAAGGTGGTGCGAACTGACCGAATTCATAAAAATTAGTGAGCATAAGACATAGGACGAGCGTAAGACGATTAATAAAGCGCTAATTCTGTCGGTCACAAATTCCGTAATACCTGAAGAACCATCAGGAAAGGCCTAGTCAAATTTGAAAGTGGATAGGATATACGGAAAGATGTACGGAGCATAATGAAAAACGCGGAGCCGCGCCTGAGCGTGCTTCGCCACATCCCATTTCGGTGGTTTCGAAATAGCACAACGATCGAGAATAAATGGATAAAGGTGAGCAGAAGGTTGGTGAATGAAATGGAGAGCACGCCGACGACGAGTTGAGCGTGCGCTCAGATGGATGGTACTTACTAAAAAAATTTATAACTCAGCTTCAAGACGTCCTAGAAACGGGTAAAAAATGAGCAGAGATTAGCGAAGGAAGAGTCATCAGAAACTCATGGGAGGAGGGAAGAGAGAAACTTCTGAAGGGGCTAGAGCTAAAGCCAAAAATTGCAAGTGTCCTGAGACAATATGGGGCCGGGATAGCGGGCGGGGCGTGAACAGAAGTGAGCGGAACTGAAACCTTAAGATCATACAAACAGTTCCAAGGCAGCCTGATTTGGCATGGCTGAAATCAGAAGTGGTTTCCCTTGCCATTGTTGAAGCCCCGTAAGCTGCACGCGTTCATATGCAGAATCCAACTGATAAAATTAAACTCAACTAGTTAACCCGAATCCTATGGTTGTTTGAGTAGACCCAGAAGGTGGGGGAAGGACTATCCTGATTCCTGATAGATGAGAATGACAGATATAAGTAACTCCAGGGGACGTTCTCATTACTGTTCCAGTTATTATTTATTACTTTTGCATCAAATTTGTGAATACCTACAGCAAGCCCATAGTGAATTCGGGCGTAGGCAGCTATAGTTGATAGTAGAATGAGAAGTTTGAGAGGTTTAATTTTGAGAACACAGCACTTTGCAAGTAGGAGAAGGCAGCAGAGGGCGGTTGCATGTTACATTTCAACCATCTTTCTTAACCCGTACTAGGTACCTGACTATAAATTCTAATCTATCTAACCAAAACCTTTTTCCTATAACATCCTTTCCCAAGAAAAAAGATTATAAGAAGCACAAACGTCAACAAGAAGAATTCAAGAAGACGACGGCGCAACCGGGAAAAAGACGCAATTTCAGACCGACGGCATTCACGACGGAACCAAACCAGTTTTTGAATGGAGGTGGTGAATTGGGATGAGTTCTACTTTTCGGCGTCACACACGGACACGCTTTCGATGTTTTCGCCATCTTACCGTACGATGGCTCCCGACGGTTATCGAACGAATGTGGTGACTCGAGGTTTGATCCAAGAATAAGGTAAAAGATGTAAAAAAGTTTGAACTGATTGGAGATTGACCTACCTTAATTTCAGGATATCAGTGGTGCCTTGAAGCGGTTTTTCATCGATAAGATCCGAGCTAGTGGTCCGATCACAGTCGCCGAATACATGAAAACTGCCATTAGTGCACCCACCGTGGGGTATTATGGGGGTTTTTCGGACTCGCAAAAGGTAAGTGCTGCTTATTTTTTGAATCGACATAAAACACTGTTCGAGCGACATGGTGTTCCTATCACCTGTATCACTAATCACTGCTAATCCAATCCACTGAGAGACGTCGAAATTACTCGTTCGTCTAAGCCATAATGAGGGTACTGTTATGGTTTCAAAATACCTGCAGCTCAATTCACTATTCTTTATTTTCCTGACATTTCAATCTTAGTTTGATTTGACCACGTCAACATGTGCGCAGCGCAGGTTTCGGCAGATAGGATGGCTTTTGAAGAAGTTGGCTGATGAACTAGCAAGAAGTACATCGGTTTATACATTGACTCAATGGAATATATCTGAATGCGCTCAAAGGCAGGCAGCAACGGTAATTTCGGCGTTCAGGGCGCATTTATAGTCGGTCGTCCGATCGTAACGATCGCGCAACATTGGACGGACGTGTTCGAGGACTGGACGATCGATACGTATCTAACGCTGTGCGATCGTCACGGTCGGACGACCGACTATGAATGCACGCTCAATCATGAGAAAGAATGCGTAGTAGAAGTGCCCAAGGAGACAAACAGGCGCCATTGCAGCAGAATCCGGACTATAACTGGCGTAGTAAAAGGGCGCTGAGAGATATCCCTACGTATCCCATTCCTCTCTCGCTGGAGATTTGAGAAGATCGTAACCGCATCCTTGATATGATAAATGTCATCGTTCTTGTCAAATTATTTCAAATGCTTTTCACCATGTGGTCGTACCTCCGTATATTATCATGTCATGTCTTCTATAGGGTTGTTCACTATCTATGCAAACCTAGTGATAAAACAAAAAGGCTCCTTTTTCTAAGTTATCGACTTTGTTTTTTTATGTTTTTTATGCATGTTCACTATCCTGTTCTGTCGGCATCAACTCATCGATATTGCTGCCTTTGATGGTTTAGTTTAGGGTTGAAACCAGGATAGAATGGGAGGAAAGGAGTGGATGATTTATGATTTAAGTCTACCTTGCTCTCAGGGTTAGATCTTACGATTAATCAACGAATAAGTTGCGCAAAAAAGTACATCGGCCGATCGTTAGGACATCTGCAAGATCACCAGTGGCTTTGGAAACTGTCCTCAACGAAATTGTGTCGTGAAAAGTAAAGAAAATACCAGCGGGTGTCGTGTTAACCATATAACATGCGATGAGAATTCGATTCCGTTTGCGCGCACTTGTTGAAGATTGCGTTCTTCATTTATCATTCTATATAATAC